CAAGAAATGTAACATTTGTATCTGATAAGGTCAGTCAAGTACCCTCGGGATTTATCCTGTGGCTACGTACCTCAGACTGTAGAACCTTTGTCAGTGTCAGCCATGAGGATAAGTCATGGCCATTGCTTGACCAATTTGCTCCCTGTGAAAGCCTGAGAGAATGTTTTCTCTCCATGTGACTCTCCCCAGGCACACTCTACATCATCGATCACATTCCTCTGTGGCTCCATAATCTCCCTGATCAGAAAATTTGGAGCACAACTGAGTTACATGATATTATATACATGATATTACATGATATTATAGACAGGTCTCCGAGTCTTCACTAACCTTGACAGGCTAGGGTCAAAATGTTGGCTGACCTTGCAGCCCGGAAGGAGCTCTTGTACTTTGTAGCCCTTAGCAGGTGCACAGGAGAAGAGAATAAAGGAGGCTGACAAGGAGTTGCCGGGCAGGTGGTGTGCGGAGCCAAGAAGGGCAAGAGTGGGGTGTGTTGAGTGCTTGTCCAACAAATCTTTCTCCTTGCTGGATCATGATGCCCTACACCAGTGAGGGTGAACTTTTTAGAGCTTTCAGTGATAACAAACAGCCCTGTGTGGGGCCAGGGAGATAGCTCAGTAGAATAAGCACTTGCCTGTCAAGCGCAAGGGTCTGAGTTCAATCCCCGGTTCTGCAAAAAAAAAAAAAAAAAAAAGAATCTTTTGGCAAAGCCATTCATTTATATGCACAAGATGGGTAAGACAGTGATCCGGAAAATCTTCAGCAGGTTTTTGAAACTAGCAGTTAATTGGTAGGATTCTTACCCTGACTAACTATATATGCTGATACCTGTGAACTAAGCAACTGCACTGAAGATAGCGATGTGTAATGGTAAGGTCATGCTTGGAATGCCTGTCATTCTGGTCTTCTAAATACGTACTGCTTGTCATGACATACCAATTACTGCCATACTGTCTCTCAAGTAAATGTTTGTTTAAAAAAAAGGGGGTAGGGGCTGGTGAGATGGCTCAGTGGTCTAAAGCACCTACTTAGAACAAACTTAGCAAAGCGCAGGGACTGTGGTTCAATCCCCCAGCACCACATGCCAGCCAGCCCCGCCCCCTGGTGGGCTGAGCTGGCCACACACACACACACACACAATAAATAAATAAATAAATAAATAAAACAAACATTAATAAAAAAAGGGGGTAATAAATGAAAACAAGAGACCAGAAAAAAAAAATGTCACAGGACTGTCCTGCTACAATGCTGTGTATGGTTAGATTTCTAAATTTCTGTGTAAAAATATGTAACTGTTTATTCCTATTTTTAATTTTTTTTTTTTTGTGGAACCGGGGATTGAACTCAGATCCTTGCGTTTGCCAGTCAAGCGCTTATCCTACAAGCCATGTCCCCAGCCAAAAATATTTTTTTAATTTTTAAATTTTTTTCTTCATATTCTCTAGGGACTTAAAATTTAACATATCAATACTTGATGGAAAATACCTGTTCCATGTTATGCCTAAGATTTTTGATATTCAGACAGATAGTGAGGTTAAGCTCAACTGCCTATACTGTAGGTTAATAATAATAAGCTTCTCTTCTGGAGGGTTAAAAACCTAAGTTTGAACACCAAAAATTAGAGAAAAAGAGGGGCTGCAAGGACAGCCAACATTTTGGCCCTAGCCTTTCAAGGTCAGTGAAGACTCAGGACATAGGAGAACCTGTACTGTAACTTCGTGCAACTCAGTTGTGTCCCAAATTTTCTGATCAGGGAGATTATGGGACCACAGAGGAAAGTGATTGATGATGTAGAGTGTGCCTAAGGAGAGTCACACGGAGAGAAAACATTCTCTCAGACTTTCACAAAGAGCAAATTGGTCAAGCAATGGCCGTGACTCATCCACGTGGCTGACACTGACGAAGGATCTACAAACTGCGGTACAAGGTTTCAGGATAAATCCTGAGGGGACTTGACTGACCTTATCAGATACAAAAGTTACATTTCTTGTTATATAGGTCTTGCTTTATCTTGGTCTTAACAATTCAGCAGAAAATTATAAAAATGAAGTATAAAAAGTACAGCCATATTAACATGCTGAGCTGTAAAAGGCTCAAGTCAACAACTTCTGACATTGCCAATCTTATGGAAAACCCACTACTATTATGGACTACTGGACTATATTGGATTATTTTGCTGAATTCACGCACCTACGATATTTAAATGACAATGGAATACCTTTCTCTGACAAAACTAAATAAAAAAGGGTGATACAAATGAATGACCATTTTGTATCTGTATGTTAAAAATAGGATAAGGGGCTAGGGAGATGGCTCAGTGGAATAAGCGCTTCCCTGGCAAGCACAAGGGCCTGAGTTCAATCCCCGGTTCCACAAAAAAAAAAAAAATAAATAATAAATAAAAAAAGGATAGATATACAGTTGCATTCTCTTAATTCAATGAATAGAGAAACTTGTTCTAATAGTGTTTGTGGACCAGATATCATGTCTGCATCTTGTACTATGAATAACCACTAAGACAACAATATGCAATGTGTTAATTATTGAAACTGTGCTAGTAATCGATTTTGAAGCTGTCTCATTGCTACTTGTTT